CTATTATTTCTCTCCATCTGACATGATTTTCGGTTGGTTTGTTCTTATTTTTCTAGGAGATTAAGGTGCATCACAAGGTTGCTTATTTGAGGGGTTTCTAGTTTTTTTAATGTAGGCACTTCTAGCTATTAATGTTCCCTTTAGCACAGCATTTGCTGTGTCCCACAGATTCTGGTAGGTTGTATTTTCATTTTCCTTGAATTCTAGGAACTTTGTGATTTCTTCCCTTATTTCTTCAGTCACTCACTCTCCTTTCAGCAGTGTGTTGTTCAACCTCCATGTGTTTGAATATTTTCTGTGATTTCTTTTGTTGTTGAGATCTAGTTTTATTCTGTTGGGATTTGATATGATGCAGGGGGTTATTTCAATTTTCTTGAATTTGTTAAGACTTGCTTTTGTGATAAAATACATATATTTTGGAAAAAGTTGCAGAAAAGAATGTGTATTGCCTAGTTGTTGGGTAAAACATTCTGTAGATGTCAACAATATCTATTTTGTCTAATGTGTGGAGTAGCTCTCAAGTTTTTTTCCTGATTTTTTTGTCTAGATGACCTATCTATTGGTGACAGTGGAGTGTTCAGTTCTCCCACTATCACTGTGTTAGGGGCTTACTGTGCTCTTAGGTTCATTAGAGTTTTTTTAATGTAGATGAGTGTCCCTGTAGTTTGGTGCATATATGTTAAGAATTGATATTTCCTCTTGAAGAGGACCTTCATTGTCTCTTCATTTACTAATTTTAGTCTGAAGTCTACTTTGTCAGATATGAGTATAGGTACTATTGCCCATTTATGGGGTCCATTTGCCTGGAAAACCTTTTTCCACCCTTTGAATTCAAGCCAGTGTTTATTTTTTTCAGTGAGATGAGTCTCTTGTAAGCCACATATGGTTGAGTGTTGTTTTTGTAACCCAGTTTGCTATTCTATGTCTTTTGATTGGGGTATTGTGGCCATTTATATTCAGGGTTATTATTAAAAGGTGCATGGTGTTTCCACTCATTTTTATTCCCTTGTTTACTTTTACCTATTCCCTGTTTAGTGGTCTGCTTGGTCAAAGATTTTATTCTTTCTTGAATCTTTCTGTCTCACTCTAGTTTTTCCTTCTGTGTGTTATAGATCTTTAAGTATTTTCTGTAGTGCTGGCTTGGTAGTCGTGAATTTCTTTAGTTTTTCCTTATTGTGGAAGGTTTTAATTTCTCTTTCAATTAGGAAGGATAGTTTTACTGGATAAACTAGTCTAAGTTGACAGTTGCTTTCTTTTAGGGCCTGAATTATGTCTTTCCATGACCTTCTTGCACTTAGAGTTTGAGCTGAGAAATCTGCTGTTATTTTAATGGGTTTGCCTTTATATGTAACTTGTTTTTTCTCTTTTGCAGCTTTCAGTATTCTGTCTTTGTCCTGTGTGTTGAGTGTTTTATTATGATGTATCTAGGGGTGTTTCTTTTTTGGTCCTGATGGGTCAGTGTTCTGTAAGCTTCCTGCACCTGGGTGACTCTCTCTTTCTCGAGGTTGGGGAATTTTTCTGCTATTATTCTATTGAATATGTTGCCAATGCCTTTAGTTTGTATCTCCTCTCCTTCTCCTACACCCATGATTCATATATTTTGTCTTTCCATGGTGTCCCAGCTATCTTGCATGTTCCATTCATATTTTCTGGCATTCTTTCATGATCTTTTACTGTTTGGTCTAATTCCTATACTTTGTATTCTGTTCCTGATACTCTATTTTCAATTTGCTCCACTCTGTTCACCAACATTTTGATTGAGGTTTTTATTTGGGATAATGAGTTGCTTATTTAAGATTGATTATTTTTCAGGGTTTCCATATCTTTATTGATTTCCTCTTTCATATCCTCCATAGTCTTTTTAATTTCATCCATTTGTTTGTATTCTCTTTGAACTCATTTGTTTATTCACATCCTCCTTGAAATCAGACACCAGCTTTGTGTCTCTTCTTTGAGGTCATTAATCATTTTTACTATTTTTGGGTGGGAATTCAGTATTTGATAGCTCTTCCTTTTTACAGGTGTTTAGATCCTTAGTGGTGGAGTTGACTTTTGAGAGAGAGTGGCTGTCTCGCTTTTTCATTCTGTGTTAAGATATATGCATCTGGAGTTGGTTTTGGTTGGGGTTTTAATCCCTTGTGCCCCTGTGTTTGGGGTTTTAAGCTTTTTTTTCTTTGAATTCCAGGAGTTTTCCTCAGAGAGGGATATGGTGGAAGTGTTGCAGGGTTCTTGTAGTGCAGATCACCTCTTTCTTCCCCTCAGTGAGGGAGCTGGGATTCCTGCTTTTTAATGGAGAAGCAAGTACCTCCCCACAGTCACAGTGGGGAGGGCTAGCCTCTGTGCACTTTGGGAACCAGGCTTCCTGTTTCCCACAGAGTAGCAGCATACCACTCAGTGGAGGATCTGGGATTCCAACTCCTAGACATGGGGGACAGGACTCTCTTGCAGGCAGGCACAGTAGGAAGTGCTGGGCCTCTGTGCACCTTTGGAAAGCAGGCCTTCTGATGGCTCCCGCAAAGTAGTAGTACATACGTTACAGCTTTCCTCCCCTCCATGAGGAGTCTGGTGTTCTTACTCTTTAATGGAGAAGTGGGGGCTCTCTTGTGTTTGGGCACAGTGGGGAGCAGTAGGCCTTTTTGTGACTTAGGGAAGCAGATCTGCTTTCCTAAGCAGGGAGTGGCAGATTACCACTCAGTGGTGTATCTTTGTTCCTGCTCTTTGATGGGACAGTGAGGCTCACTCATTGGTGGTGTGGTGGGAAGCACTGGGCCTCCTTGCTCCGTAGGGAGGAAAGCCTCCTGGAACCAGCAGAATAGCAAAGCAATGAGCCTTGGGTTCGTTTGCATATGTGGTGGTAGGCTCCTGGCAGAGAGTAGCAAGTTGAGGGTGCCCGTGGGGCAGCAAAGCCAGCAGGCTTGAATTTTCTGCTGCCTGCAAGGCAGTGGCAGCCCTGGAATCTACTTTTGCCAGGGTGTGGGCTTCCAGGATCCACAGCAGCTGCTGCAGACATGAGAGAACAAAGCCTGCCAGCAGCGGGAGTTCTGGGGACTGCTTGCCAGGAGCAGGCTTCCAGGAACCCAGAAGAGTAGTGCTGCAGTCATGGGAGAACAAAGCCTGATGGCTTGCACCTTCTGATACCCATGGAGCCTGCTTATGCAGGGCCACAGGTTACCCTGGTGTTTCAGGGTCAGGTAGCACGAGGGAGTGTGGAGTTTAGAGTTCCTACATGTGCAGGAAGCAGGACTTACCAAAGAGCACAGAGGTATGGAGTCGCACGGAGACTTCAGGGGCAAGGGATCAGGAGTGTTGGCCTGCACATGATTCTTCCCGTTCTTCCCATAGTTAGTTGTTTCTGTTTCTGTGGATTCAGAGAAGGCTTTGCTTCTTGCTGGCTATAGGACCTTGTGGGGTATCCTTAGGGTCCCTCAGTCTTCCTTCTTCAGGGTAGTTAGTCACCACTGGAGTTTAGGGATGTCAACAATCTGCCATCTTGGAAAGATCCCCCTTGGTATGACTTCTTACTGTCTTTATTTTCTTATTTCTTGCTCAAAATCTTTCTCTAAAAATCTTTCAGTTTGGATCTTTGTGTAAGAATCCCTCTGTGGATTTTATCTACTGAGTTAGAGATCTGTATATAAGCTTCTAGTCTTGAAGTTATTTTTCTTTACACTGGCCCATCAGCCCATCTGAGCATGTGTGCACCTGCACACAAATCTTCACTTATGCCTTACTCCTTTGCCTTGACTCCTTCTCTTCCTCTTCCTCTTCCTCATCCTCCCTCTTCCTCCTCATCCTTCTTCCTTCTCCTTTCTCTTCCTCCTTCTCCTTTTCTTTCTTGTTCCTCCTCCTCCTCCTCCTTCTTCTTTCTTTTCTTCTTCTTTTCTTTTCTTAATTCTGCTTCTTCCTCCTCTTCTCTATATCTCTATCACCTCTGCTTCTTTCCCCTTTGTCTCATTTCAGACTTTGTCCACTTTAAAACCTGGAACATTTCATAGTATCTACTGACGTGATAGCAAAAGTCTCTGGACCCTTTTGAGCAAGTCAGAAACTATTGGAAAAAGTGATGCCTGGGGTGGTGAAATAGTTCTGCAGAACTGCCTGAGAATGCCATCCATTACCAGTTGATGGAAACTGGTATTCCAGGGTCCAGAGTTTAGATCCTGGAATTTCCTTATCATTTAGTTGTAGATACCCACAATAGTCTCCAAAAGATGTCCAAATCCTGGTTCCCAGAGCCAGTGAATATGTTACACTACCTGGCAAAGGGGAGCTAAGGTTGCATGTAGAATTAAGGTTGTCATCAACTGACCTTAAGTTAGATTATCCAGAAAGACCCAGTGTAATCACCAAATCCTTAAATAGGCCAGAGAGTAAAAAAGAAGAACCAGAGAGATGGCAGCTTGAGAATATCACCAACATTGATGACTTTGAATATGGAGAAAGGGGACCACTAGCCAAGGAATGTGAGCATTCTCTAGAAGCTGTAGGAGACAAGGAACTGGATGAATATTTATCAAGCCCCAAGAAAGGAATACAGCCTTGTCAACACATTGATTTTTAAATCTGTATCAGACATATGACCTTTACAACTGCAAAATAATAAATTTGTATTATTTTAAGTCACTGAGTTTATGATAATTTATTATTGCAGCAATACAAAACTAATGTAGGAAGTGTCCTAAAGAGCAGAGAAAGATTTTGTCCTTTCCATTATCCTCCCAGGAAAATCCTTGGGTTTTTGTTTTTGTTTTTGCCCCCTACATTTTGGCAACCATATTTCTTCCAGCTCCCTGGCCCTCTGCTTTGTTTCCTCTAAATTCCACCTTCTATTCTGCAGCTGTACACAATTAGCTGTGAATTAATAATTTGTATATGTAACACTTGCATAGAACATTGTAGGATCTCAACACTTTTTAAATATATTATCTTACTAACAATAAATTTCCAGAGATGACATTTCAATTTCCCTATTTTTTTCAGATGAGAAAAAAAAAAGAAACATGGAGATCTTCTCCCAGGGGTAAATAGCTAGTAAATATCTGAACTAGAACAAGAAATTCTCTGACAGAAATTATGAGCTTTTCTGTTGCTCTCCTGCTCCTAGGAGACTAACTTCACAATTATTTATGCAAAACTCATAGTCTTCAAAGGTTTGTTAAGGGTCAATCTGTCGCTCAGTATCTACTATGCAACTACTAAGTATTGGGTCCTATGCCAGGCACTGGAAAACAATGGTGAACAAAACAGACTTGGATGTTGCCTTTGCAGTTTTCATTATGCTCTGCTACAGATGTTGCTCAGACCTCAGAGGTCGCTTTTCTACTGGAAGTGTCCAATCTGGACCAAGCACCAAGCATCTGAGAGAGGAAGGAAAAGCTTAAAAAAAAAACTTAAATCCATATTCCTGTTAAAGTTTTAAAAGAGATTATTGGATTCTCCTAAGCAAAGCAATGAGTTTAATTCAAAATAAGTAGGTATTTAAAAATGTGCTGCTAGTGTTAATATTTGTTTTGAATTATTGTCAGAAGTAACTGAAAGATAATGAGGACAAAGAGAGTACAGGACATCAACTTTCTCTAATTCAGAGCCTGCATCTTTTATCTTGAATTACATAACCATTACTCATAACCTCTCTTTCCTCTTTTTTTTTTTCAAAGCTGATCCTGTCCCTAGGTGGGGTAGACACCAAAAGTGCATGTTCTAATATTCAGTGGTGTCTTTTTCAACTAGTTGGTTGCTGGCTTGTTCTCACCTTATGTCCTGATGGTTTTCTAGTCTTGTTCCATTTTAGCTGAGTCCCTACTTTGGATGATAAATGATTACTGCCTCAATTCCTACAGTCTTGGCCTGTTCTCACTGGCTCTTTTGTTGGCATAAGGAACAAGTTCCTAAATCTCAACATCCCCCTATGCATTCCTTTCTGTGTATTTTGTCATAATACAACATCTTCTCAAACATCTGTTTCCCACACTATCACCTCTTAGATCCTTCTTGCTTATAAAGGCACCCACCTCTTAGTTCCTCTATGTTTTCCTTAATGCCACCCACCTCATGAAGAAACACCAACCCCAATGCTGTTTCTGCCAGAAATAATTCAACCTCCCACCAACCCTAGACAGTTCCACAACCTGATGGACATGTCATATTTCTAGGTCTCTATTACTACTTGTCCAACCTTTCAGCCCATAATTAAGCTCAAATAAATTACAGAAGTATAATTATTCCAAGAGGAGTTCAATACAGGAATACAATCCCTACCTTGTCTATATGATTTGTATAGAAAGAATTCAGGGCACCCCCCTTTTCTTTACAGAGGAAAAGAAGTAATTCTAGCCAGAAGCATCAGGTATAGACTGATGTTGCACAGAGGAGGAACAAATGAAGCCAGGCAGAGACAAGAGATGTATCATAGGTAAAACACCTTGGAAATGGAGCAAAATGACTGTTTTCTAAATATCTTTCCTATAATCATTACCACTTATCCTCAAAGTAGCCTAAGAATGTGGATATTATAAGTGTTGTTTTTTGGAAAAAGAACAAGAGCCAAAATGCATGTTTACGTTCACAAAATTCATTGCAAAATTAGAGGTGAAGTCAAAGTACACCAATGCCAATCATATGGAGACATTTCATAGACTACATGGCAGTCTAGATGAATGACCCCCTTATGCGGTGCATGAACTGCAACAGCTTGTGAGGTATCTCCTCCATCAAACTGGAGACTCCACAATGCCCTGTATAGCTATCCTTATCTCAACCAGCAAAACCCCTTGTTCCTTCCTATTATTGCTTATACTCTCTCTTCAACAAAATTAGAGATAAGGGCAAAATAGTTTCTGCCGGGTATTGAGAGGGTGGGGGGGAGAGGGAGGGGGTGGAGTGGTGGTAAGGGAGGGGGTGGAGGCAGGGGGAAGAAATGACCCAAGCCTTGTATGCACATATGAATAATAAAAGAAAAAAAAACTGGAGTCTCCAAGTCAGAACACACACCTAATTATCCTCTATATTCTTTTACTTGTAGGACAGCAGTACTGAAGGGAAACAAGAGCTACATTACTGAATTCCTCCTTCTAGGACTGACCACTGACCCCACACAACAGATATGGCTCTTTGCCTCCTTCCTTGCCATGTACCTGGTCAATGTGGTTGGCAACTCAGTCATCATTGCAGCCATCTGGAGGGAGGCCCACCTACATACCCCAATGTACTTCTTCCTCTCCAACCTTTCCCTGGTGGACATCTGCTTTACCACTGTCATTGTGCCAAAGATGTTAGCCAACTTGCTTACACACAGAAAGACTATCCTCTTTTCCCAGTGCCTCATCCAGATGTATTTCTTTGTGGCCTTTGGCATCACTGACAGTTTCCTCCTGGCTGCCATGGCCATTGACCGTTACATGGCCATCTGCAACCCATTGCATTACATCAAGACCATGAGTCCCAGACACTGTCTTCTGTTGGTGATGGCATCTTGGGTGGTCTCCCACCTCCACTCACTCACCCACACAATTCTCATGGGCCGCCTCTCCTTCTGTGGATCCAATGTCATTCACCACTTCTTTTGTGATGTCCAGCCACTACTGACACTCTCTTGCTCTGACACTTCTATCAATGAGATTTTGGGCTTCACAGAGGGTTCCTTTGTGATCATGAGCCCCTTTATCTTCATTATTTTCTCTTATGTCTTCATTGCCTGTGCTGTTCTGAAGGTCCCATCAGGGGGAGGCAGATACAAGGTCTTCTCCACTTGTGGATCCCATCTAACAGTCGTGGCACTATTCTATGGGACCATAATATCTGTGTACATCCGCCCCTCATCCACTTACTCAGTAACAAAGGACCGGGTGGTCACTGTCATCTATACAGTAGTTACCCCCATGCTAAACCCTTTTATCTATAGCCTTAGGAACAATGACATGAAAAAGGCATTGAGAAAATTGACTAGGAGAACTGAGTAAAATATGCATATTTTAATACCTCTAGGAGTTTATTCAACAATGAATCACCATTTTTGTACTATGGCCACACTTGTACAGTGTGCTCAATCGTTACTGAGCCTGCAGAGCTCCCAAGACAGGCCATTCCATAAACAGAGGGGTCTCTTCTGATGGAAAACTTTTATGCTTGATTCCCCATTGGTCAAACCTTTTTTTGGTACTTTGTTGCAGTACAGATTCTTTCCTATCCCAATCCAACTTACTTCCCTCTTTTCTTCCACGGGTCTCAAACTGAATCTAAAGGATTTCTTTCACTTCTTTTCCAATAAAGCTTTTACACATTGGGGTGGTTAGTTTTTATGTAGCAATTCAACTGAGCTAATGGATGACCATATACCTGGTAAAACATTATTTCTGGATGTTTCTCTAAGGTGTTTCAGTAGAGATTATCATTTGCATCTGCAGATTGAGTAAAGATCACACTCAACAATGGGGGTGGATAGCATCCAATCCATTGAGGCCCCAAATAGACCAAAAAAGGCAGAGGAAAGGTGAATTCAACCTCTTGTCTCAGCTGAGACATCTTCTGTCTTTAACATCCACACCCTTGGCTCTCAGTCCTTCAGACTCTTACTGGGACTTAACAACACTGGTTCTGTATAGTCTCAGGTCTTTAGACTCTCCTAGGCCTCCAGCCTGAATAGAGAAGATCACAAGACTTCCTAGCCTCCACAGTCATGTGAGCCAACCTCTTATAATAAATCTCTTTGTCTATGCCAACATATGTATTATTTGTTCTTTTTCTCTGGAGTGCCCTAACTAATACATCTAACCATATCATGGCATGGGCTTCACAGAAGACTTGAACTAATAAATTAGTCAATGACTCAGTGAAAAAAATCTGCTCTTTGGCACACAATACAGAAGAATTTGAACAGATGCACCTGAATACTGTGAGAGACAGTTATGGCATTAAGTTCAAAATGGAAAAATATGTTCTGTGTCATTTGTTATGGATTTACTCTCTCACCTATAAAAATAACCTAACTTAACTTGATATAAGACTAATAGTGAACAAAATTCCAGTTGCCTAGACATTTCTGCTGAAATAATAAAATCTTGGGCTGTCACTAAAACATCAATAATAAAACAAAGGAATAATGTAATATTGTTATTGTAGAAGTGTTCTCTAGAAAAGACTGACTTCAAAATGTTCTTCCAACTTGCATGCAGATTTTTTAGGAAGAAATAAATAATAGAGAAGGCCAGGACATGTTTATTCAAATAACATTTGTGCATTTTATAAGACTAGGAAGAGTTTTACATGAGATAGTACATTTTAATTGTGCCAAAAATCTGATAACAAATACAAATGTTCATCAAGGTTGGAATTGATTCATTATGATACTATCCCAAAAAGGAATGTAAATCCATAATCCCTTATCTGCAATCCTGAAATCCAAAACTCACTGAAAAATATTTCACAAAGTTTCAGCAAATTTATTTTTTAGAAAAACTTCACCTTGTTTGATACCTGGCTATTTATCCAACTTGGTATAAACACTTATTTATCTAAGTATTATTGTGTTTTTTAGTGCACAAACTCCCAGAAACTACTGATGGCATCATAATAGATGGCATATGTATAATATACCTCTTCTAAAATTGGAAACATTCTAAGTTCCAAAATGAAAAGCCCTGATAATAGTGGTAGAAAGAATAGTGAGAAATTCCTGCATAGCTATCTTAAACAAACAAAAATGTCTTTTTTCAAAAACAAAGGACAGGAAGGTAAAACAGGTCCTGTGTGAGGGGTGGTACCAGTGGGAAGGGAGAGGATAAAAAGAAAGGGTGAGAGGGGGTATTCAAGATGGCGACTAGGCTACATAAGCAGAAAGGCTAAACTCCCTGAATCTAAAAACCTCCCTGAGACATTGGAGCCATACTTGGGTAATTCTGACTGCTTCTAGCCAAAATAACTGCCATTGCACTAGCTGCAGGAAAAAAACTCAAAGACTGACCTTCAAATCAGCCTTTAATTGCACCTAACAACTGCGACCCATTGCACAGCCAGCAAGGCAATTCTGGCCCCAGGGAAACCCTCCTACCCCACGGCAATTTTTTTCTTTTCTTTTTCTTCTCTCTTTCCTTCTCTTCACCTTCCTCCATCAAGCAGAAATAAAGCATCAACCAGAATCAAACTTTTGACATCCTAAACCCCTAGCCCATGGAAAGCCTCTCCATGCCACATTGCAATGAGAAAATTTGGTTTCTCACCCCCACTGCCACTGCCACCACTGCCACCACTGGCTCAAACCTGCCTGCGTGTCAACTGACAGAACAAACTGGTAAGCACCATGCACCAAGTGGAACTCCCCTATCCACCCTAGGGAACATAAACCAGCACAGCAGGATGACCCCCCCACCGAACAAAACTGAATAACAAACAGCAAACTGTAATCAAACATGGACAGCTGGGGGGCAGGTGGAATACTGAAACTACACCAGAGAAAAGGAGAGGGGGAAGGAACTAATCTCAGCACTGAACTATCAGTAAACAAACACAGGAAAGGCAGTGAAGACTGAGAGTAGGTGGGCAATAAGCCACTCCCCAAAGCAGGGAAGGTAGTGGATCACATAGCTGATTTACTGAGCCACAGCAGCATCCAAAACCAAACTGCCCCAAAACTGAAAAATAAACAGCAATCTATAATAAAACATGGACAGTGGAGGGAGTGAGTGGGATGCTGAACCTGCCCCAGGGAAAGGGGGTGAAATAAAGAAATAAACTCCCAGGCCCGAACACCCAGTTAACAGACACAGCGACCATGAAGCAGGGCAGATAGTGGATCACAGAGCTGATGTCTGAACCAGAGAGCAGCATTCAAAACTGAACTGTCCCACCTTCCTGGGAGAGGAGCTGACCAAAGAGCTGCAGCTGAAGGATAACACAATTAACAGCTGGGGAAATGAAAAGCTCTGACTACCCTGCATGATCTGGCACCCTACTGCACCTCACAATTTCAATTAAACTGATATACAGAAGAACAAAACGCTACTCACAAGCCAATCACCTGGTGAGACCACATCACAGCATTGGCTTATATGCCAACACCAGGACTGGATGCCAGAGGAGTAATTCTAGAACTTAAACTAAGACTGAAATTCTGTTGTTCCTGAACCTGATGGGGGTTTTAAATTATTTTTTTTTCCTGTTGTTTTGTTTGTTTGTTTGTTTCACTATTGTGGGGGGTGTTATTTTTATTCCTATTTTCTTTTTTTTCTTTCCATACTATCAACTTTACCATCCTTACTCTCACCCTTTCACCATCCCTCCTTCTCCTGTGCTAAAATCCATTGCTCTCCTTCCCAACTACTCTTTCTGCTTCTTCTCATCCACTCTCTCCCCCTGCACTCACCTTCCCCTCCCATTATCCCCCAATCTGTCAACTGACAACCCCTCCCTCTTACACACTCACCACATGCTGACCAACCTCTATACAAAATTTACACAAACCCAAACTCCCTGCAATCCCTGACACAAGCACCCTACACTAGAAAAACAGAAATACACCCAAACACACACAAGGGCCACAAAACCCAGCAGCCCCACAACACTTCTCCCACTCACCCACTCTACTTCCTGCCTCCCCTTTTAGAGCCACCCTAACCAACTACCCAAATTTCTATAACTAGCCTAACAAACATTAACCCCCCAACTCTTACTGCTTATACATATTGCCACCAAGGAGTCTTGTATATAATATATAAATAAATGGTTGGGTATTGAACCTGTGAATTAGTTATTGCTAAATTACACCACCAAACCAGGGACAGAAATATCACACCAACCTAGCTAAGAAACAAGACAGTCACAACACAAAAACTAAATCAAGGGAAAGAAAACAGGTGACAAAAATACAAAATAGCTTGTCAAGAACATAGTTGCCCAGCACAAAGTGGAGCAATGGGAAGAAGAGGAAGGGATGGAAATGACTCTCCTCAAAAAAATAATTTCACACAGGATTAAGAGGGAAATGAAGAAAATGGATACCCAGTTCCAGACCCAAAAAACAAAGATAAATGACATTGAGGAACACAGCAATGCCCATAAAAACACCCTCAAAGAAGAAATCATGCAAGAAATCACTGAAAACTACATGGAGAAGATGTGGTTAAACAAAATATACAAGATGTACTGAAGAAATTTCAAGACACCAAAAATAAAGAATATGAGAAGACACAGAAACAAATAAAGAAACTCAGAGATGCCCTAAATAAACACCAAAGTGAAACAGAGGACACTATAAATGGAGAGATAAATGAATTAAAGATGAAGATAAAAAACATTGAAGAGGAAGTGACCCAAGATATGGAAAACCTCATAAAAAAGAATCAAACAGGAACACAATACACAGTGAAAGCCCACTCCAGCAGAATAGAACAAGAAGACAAATCTCAGAACTTGAAGATAAAATAGAAATTAAAGAAAAATCTGAAGAACTATTAGTCAAACAACTCAAGAGCTGTGAAAGGAATATACAAGCACCCACCAACTCCATGAGAAGACCAAACTTAAGAATCATGGGCACTGAAGAAGAAGAAGAGGTCCAAATAAAAGTGATTAGTAATATATTTAATAAAATAATAACAGAAAATTTCCCAAATCTCAAGAAAGTTTTGCCCGTTCAGGCACAGGAAGCCTCCAGGACACAAAACAAACTTGACCAAAATAGAACATCCCCACGCAATATTTAACGAGCTAGCATGGAGAACAGAGAAAGAATATTGAAGGCTGTAAGAGAGAAAAAAACACATAACATATAAAGGTAAATCACATTAATTTTCACAAACTCTGAAGGACCTAAAAACATATATACACTCCAAAACAGTGGTAGTGGAAGACCAATACATAGGTCATCCAAACAAAAACATCAATAAAGAAATTCTAGAACTAAATCACACCAAAGATCAAATGGACCTAGCTGATGTCTACAGATTATCTACTACAACATTCATAC